TATTATATATTAATATTTATTATATACTATTATTATGTATTAATATATATTATATATTATTATTTTTTATTATTACATGTTATTATTTATTATTATATTTTATTATGTATTATTATCTATTATCTATTTATTATTATATATTATATTATTATTATTTATACACACATGTTTAATGTTGGTGTCCTGATGGATCAAACTACACTGAAGAAGAATTCTCACTGGATCAGGCAGAAGTGAAATTCTGCCATCTGGTGGTCAAAGGTCGTCAGCACAACGACTTTAAACACATTGTGTGTTAAATATTATATATAATCAATACTATATATAATATTGATTATATATAATCGATATTGAGCTGCAGTGTGTTTGATTAATTTCATGTATATTCAAATGTTTGGAGTTTATATTGATCTTCTTTATGTTAATGGTTCCAGATACAAAGCTTATATGTTTCTCTTACACACTAAATCCTCCATACTGGTCCTTTAAGTGTAATATATATATATATATATATATATATATATATATATATATATATATATATGTAATACATTATACAGGCAGTGAAATGTAGAAAAAGTTGCTAAAACTTCTAGAAACAAAACAAATATTCTTACATATAATCACATTTTCTTGCATTGAGTCAAAAGAATCTAAAATACTGTAAAAGACCTTAAAGAAATAATCAAGTTGTTTTTGTTACAATGAATGAAATTAACTGTAAACACTATAACTGTTTAAGTTTGTGTAAAATACCCCAAAACCACTAATATTGACTAATATTATTATATATTATATTATTAATATTGGTTTAGTTTGTTACAATTTTAACGAGTTTCGACAACTTATTAAAATTAAAATAACTTTCTGGTTTTACACTGTTGTCCATGTAGCTGTAAAATAATCTGTTCACATTTAAATACATATAAATATTAATACAATTACAAAGAATATCCTGTGAAATTACATCTAAAATCTGTAAATAATTTATTTAAAGAACATTAAATTAAAATACATTTACATTAATAGATTAAACTTTTAAATACAAGTTTAATACTGTTAACACATTTCTAACATTAATTCATTAACAGTAAATAAAGTATTAGTTGTGTAATTTTAATGTATTAGTTAGTGAACTGACAGATATGTTGTATAATGATGGAAGTTGAATAAATGTTGTTTATCAGTGTATAAGGTAAACTGTCCAAATACAGTTGTTATCAGTGTAAACAGCAATAATTACTGTAATCTCACAGATAATGACTTTTATTACACTTCTATAACTTTTAACATTCACATTAAAATAATAACAATCCAATAATAACAGCACTCTGCTGGAAATGTAAGTCTGATTATTGTATTATAGCAGAGTTCACCTGGATTTATAGATCATTGTTTACACTGTAAATATCTTTAATTCAACATTAGAAAGACAAAACATTTTATATCTTATGTCAAATTAAATCTAATAAAATGTATTTGAATTACAGAAAATTTCTGTATTTTTACGAATCAGTTATTTTGGTTGCAGGAATATTACCGTTATTTATGTTACAGTTTGTTTCTGTGAGCAACCGAATGAGTCTGAAGGGTTAAACTCCTCCATGTTTTGGCTCCATATAAGGAACCCAGCTGCTGTCCGAGCTGCGTCAGCGTGGGGAGGAAACGGCGTGACATCAGTGTGATGGACGCCGTGACGACACGTGTTTGTTTACCCGCCGCTGTGTGACGCACTCGCTGCGTGTTACATAACGACACGACTCCCAGAAATGTTTTCAGCCCCCGACTGTGAATGACAACAATGATAAACACGAGCCAGTTATCCTTCGTACCTTTATTGATAAAGTTCAACCTCGTGGAAAACTCAGTTTATAGTTTTTATAGGTTTTTAATTAACCGATAACAACACTTTAAATGATAATCACTAAATGTTTGTGTCTAAAACCAGATGAGTTCATTAAATAAATTAAATGTTTATCACATAAACCTTTTTAAGTAACAGAAACTGAATTTTTTTTTAGGTTAAAAAGTTTTTAATTTTACTTTTAACTTACAGAAACTTTCCTGATTAATAACTTTTTATAAGGTAATTTGTTCATTTTGATATTTTGTACAAATAAAAATTACAAAATTCAAATCATTCGCATTTAAAATTACTACTTTAGCAAAAAAATTGTTTTTAACTTAGAAAATGTAGTTTTACTTAGTTTTACTAAGATTATATGAACTTTATCTGGTTTTACATAATTTTTTATGTATTTCTGGTTCTTGGCAGCTTTATACTTTATACTATAGCTGAGTTTGTATGAATGTTAAATGAGTTCAAAAGACAACAAAGTCTGTTAATAAAGATAAACACTTTATTACAATATTAGTAGATAAACAACTTGTTTTGTTCATACATTTCATAATTTTAAGTGTCTTTGTGACTTCCGTATTTATGTATATATTTATATATTTATGTGATTGTTGGTGCATAAACTCTTAAAACTGTTTGACATAACGTGAATTTTGTGTTTTAAGTAATAAATATATATTTATATTTCCACTTTACAGAATTGTTGTATTTTTGTGACAGCTTTAGTTATTTTTCACATTTTCTTACTAAACATATCCTGATATAAAATATAAACACATCATTAAAGTGTGGAGGAACCAACTGAAGACCCCTCGCGTTCCACGTGTGTCCCAATCTACAGTCAGTGTTTGGTTTGTCCGCTCTGAGCCACCGTACAAACATGGCAGACTCCGCCACTGGAAGACGACAAAAACATTCTAACTTAACAAAAACACTACGATTATTTAAAATCCTCTTTTATATTAATTAATTTATTGATAATTATTTAAAAAAACAAATATCAGAGAAAAGTTTTTAAAACATTTACAAAAATGTATCAAAGTATTTTTTTCTTCTTTCCTCTTCTATTAACGACCCTCCGGAGGGCCCGAGCCCTATGTTGGGAACCACTGGACTAAACTAACAGTAGGCTATAAACCAGAACCAGAACCACAGGAACCAGCAGTGAAATGCTAACCTGTTGTTGTTGTTGTTGTTGTTGTTGTTGTTGTTGTGAGGTCTTTGTACCCGCGCCGCTGCACGCACACAGCTTGATGTTTCTTACGTGACGGTGCGCGTGTGACAGCAGCTGGTGTCTGGGACACTGCACGCGCTCTGTTGTCACCACGTTGTCCTCTGGGGGGTGGAGGGGGGTGGGGGTGGGGGGGGGGCGGCTCTATACAAACTGCCCCACCGGGACTCCCGTGGACTCCGGACCGGTCACAGCACACAGGCCGCCTGGCTGCCGGGCACAGATGTCCCGCTCAACGCTCCACTTCCACACCGGGGGAGAGTCGCCCTCCCCGGGGCAGTATATGGAGAACGGCCGGGTGGAGGAGGAGGATGAAGAGGAGGAGGAGGAGGATCTGGACGACGAGCTGGACGCTTCACGGCTGGAGAGGTTTATGAGAGACAGGAGGAGAGCCAGGTCCCTGCCTGCCTACCCGGCGGCGCTCCTGCACGGAGTCTCCGGTAACAACGGGAGGAAGCGGGTGAAGTTCGCCGACTCCATGGGTCTGAACCTGGCCAGCGTCAAGCACTTCAGCTCGCTGGAGGAGCCGCAGATCCCGAGTAAAGTTCTGTCCAGACACAAGAGCTTCCCGCCGCCGCAGCAGGACTTACTGAACGAGCTGTGCCACAGCTTCACGTCCAGCCTGCTCACGGACCGGCTGCTCACGTGCTTCCCGGAGCCCCGGGAGGTGGAGCGGAGAGTCCAGCTGCTCCGCGTCTGCCTGGAGAAGGTCACCATCACCCAGTTTGACGTGCGGGGACAGATCCGGGTCTTTACCGGCTGCAGCAACAGAGAGGTCGGAGTGAGGTACACCTTCAACGACTGGCTCTCCTACATGGACGCGCAGGCTCTGCCCGTGGCCGCGGATCAGCCGGGCTTCGTGGGGGAGCGCTTCAGCTTCACCGTGTACACGCCGCCCTTCATGGACCCCAGCTCGGCCGTGCACTTCGCCGTGTACTTGAAGAGTGGGGAGGGGGAGTTCTGGGACAACAACGAGGGGCAGAACTACACCCTCAGGTACCACTGCATGCCCGGCGCCGAACCCTTTGTCAGCGCCGCATTCCACGCCACCTGATGGGTGCGTAAAACCTCCAAATCTGTGCGTAAAACCTCCAAATCTGTGCGTAAAACCTTCAGATCTGTGCGTAAAACCTTCAGATCTGTGCGTAAAACCTCCAAATCTGTGCGTAAAACCTTCAGATCTGTGCCTACCAGCTCCCCACCTGCCCCCTCTGCAGCTGCTGATCAAATACTTCATCTGTGTGATGCTGTGTGTAATGTGCTGAGTCGTGCTGAGCTCAGAGAACTTGTGTCAGAAGATGCTGTGATCATCCGGAGGAAGGTTCTCCCTCAGTGATCCTGTGAGTGGGAAACAGTCTCTGAGGAAACCACAGCTGACTTTGTTTTCTGGATATTTTCCTGAACCTCCGCCTGGATCGATGGACACAGAAACAACAGACTGACTCTATGTGTCAACAACCTTCTGTCCAACAGACAGAAACTCAGTCCTCTCTCTGCTGCTCAGACTGTTGATGAGAAAACCTTTTCAAAATAAAACACTAAATATTTCTGTGCTCTTTCATGTTCAGTTCTATAATTATAATGAATTAAGAACACAAGGATGGTACGATAATAATCTGATACATTAAAACAGGTAGTCAGTGAATTTATCCCAGTATTATTAGTTAGTATTAAAGTATTAAAGTAACTTGATTACTTTCCGTTATTGTCGGATTGTAATAGAAGTATTGATGTACCTGTAGGTGATAACCAGCTGTGATCAGCCCGTTGCAAATATGAGCAGTTATTGATCGTGACATTACCAAACGTTATGTTATTATTAGCATATTGCCAACGTTAGTATTTACATTTCAACACTACACCAAACAAAGCAGAGCACCAGAGAGCTAATGATGACACCAAATATGGATCCCATCATTCAGTCTGTTTGTTTACAGTCGAGCAGGATACAAGTCAACATCTCTCCTGTACGTGAGATCAGTCAGCTCCTCATCCTGTCTGTCTGTCTGTCTGTCTGTCTGTCTGTCTGTCTGTCTGTCTGTCATCTTTACATGAAGGCCAAAGTTCAGAAGTCCAGCGCCTCTGAAAATAGTCCCATTGATAAACCTGTTTGATCTGTCAACACTCTGACGTTCAGAGTGATGAATATTTCTTCCTGATGGTTCAATAATAATTTCAGTCGAACTTTCACAGACACAAATTATGTTTCTGTATTTAAGAAAAATCAAGAAATAATTAAAAGTCACGACTCTGCGAGCAAAACCAGACTTCATTGTAAACTCTAAATACTACAATACCCATGAGCCTTAGCTGCATGCTGCAGAGCTGTCATTGATGGCGTGAAGAGATAAACTGAGCCTCATCCCTTAGCTTTAGCTCACTGTTAGCGTAGCACTTCACAGAATTTAAAACTGAAATGCATCTTGGGAGTCGTAGTTGACTTCTGTCCTTCAGTCTTGTACCTTTAACTTTTTTTTATCAAAGATTTTTTAATGTAGTTTTCTTTCGTACACTGTAAAAAAATAATTCATTTTAATTTTTTTCCTGTTTATTTTAAATACATGAAAATATGAACAGAATTACAATGTCTAATATAATGTCAAAATAAATGACTTATTATTTAATAGAATTGTTAAAGTCAAGTTTAATACTGTTAATATGTTTATAGAATTATGTAAAATCATTGACATTAACAGTAAATAAAGTATTAGTTAGTAATAACAATCCAATAATAACAGCACTCTGCTGTAAATGTAAGTCTGATTATTGTATTATAGCAGAGTTCACCTGGATTTATAGATCACTGTTTACACTGTAAATATCTTTAATTAAAAGACAAAAAATACACAAGATTTTATGTAAAATTAAAGCTAAAAACTGTATTTTAACAGTCATTATTTTCTGTTATTTTACTGTAACTGAGTGTTAATTATTCAACGATCTCATCACTGTGTCTCTGAGAGGATGAAGAAGTAATGTAATGAATCATAAAACTTTACTTATGACGTGGAAATGATCTGATTTCTAGTTTTTGACTTTGCGTATGAGATTCTCCTGCTGGTTGTGTCGGGGTACTGCAGCCTGGGGTGAACATTAGCATCAGCTGTGACAGAAATCATGGAGCTTATAGTTAGTGGGGGGGCATCTGTCACGACCAATAGAACTAATCTTTCAGTATGAAGCTCTGTCAGTATAAAGCTCTGTCAGTATAAAGCTCTTTCAGTATAAAGGTCTGTCAGTATAAAGCTCTTTCAGTATAAAGCTCTGTCAGTATAAAGCTCTTTCAGTATAAAGCTCTGTCAGTATAAAGCTCTTCAGTATAAAGCTCTTTCAGTATGAAGCTCTGTCAGTATACAGCTCTGTCGGTATAAAGGTCTGTCGGTATAAAGGTCTGTCGGTATAAAGCTCTTTCAGTATAAAGCTCTGTCGGTATAAAGCTCTGTCGGTATAAAGCTCTGTCAGTATTAAGCTCTGTCAGTATAAAGCTCTTTCGGTATAAAGCTCTGTCGGTATAAAGCTCTTTCGGTATAAAGCTCTGTCGGTATAAAGCTCTTTCGGTATAAAGCTCTTTCAGTATAAAGCTCTGTCAGTATAAAGCTCTTTCAGTATAAAGCCCTGTCAGTATAAAGCTCTTTCAGTATAAAGCTCTTTCAGTATAAAGGTCTGTCAGTATAAAGCTCTGTCAGTATAAAGCTCTGTCAGTATAAAGGTCTGTCGGTATAAAGCTCTTTCGGTATAAAGCTCTTTCGGTATAAAGCTCTGTCGGTATAAAGCTCTGTCGGTATAAAGCTCTTTCGGTATAAAGCTCTGTCGGTATAAAGCTCTTTCGGTATAAAGCTCTGTCAGTATAAAGCTCTTTCAGTATAAAGCTCTTTCAGTATAAAGCTCTTTCAGTATAAAGCTCTGTCAGTATAAAGCTCTTTCAGTATAAAGCTCTGTCGGTATAAAGCTCTTTCGGTATAAAGGTCTGTCGGTATAAAGCTCTTTCGGTATAAAGCTCTTTCGGTATAAAGCTCTGTCAGTATAAAGCTCTTTTAGTATAAAGCTCTTTTAGTATAAAGCTCTGTCAGTATACAGCTCTGTCAGTATAAAGCTCTTTCAGTATAAAGGTCTGTCGGTATAAAGCTCTTTCGGTATAAAGCTCTTTCGGTAAAAGCTCTGTCAGTATAAAGCTCTGTCGGTATAAAGCTCTTTCGGTATAAAGCTCTGTCGGTATAAAGCTCTTTCGGTATAAAGCTCTGGCAGTATAAAGCTCTGTCAGTATAAAGCTCTTTTAGTATAAAGCTCTTTCAGTATCAAGCTCTTTTAGTATAAAGCTCTTTCAGTATAAAGCTCTGTCAGTATAAAGCTCTTTCAGTATAAAGCTCTTTCAGTATAAAGGTCTGTCGGTATAAAGCTCTTTCGGTATAAAGCTCTGTCGGTATAAAGCTCTGTCGGTATAAAGCTCTGTCGGTATAAAGCTCTTTCAGTATAAAGCTCTTTCGGTATAAAGGTCTGTCGGTATAAAGCTCTTTCAGTATAAAGCTCTGTCGGTATAAAGCTCTTTCAGTATAAAGCTCTGTCGGTATAAAGCTCTTTCAGTATAAAGCTCTGTCGGTATAAAGCTCTTTTAGTATAAAGCTCTTTCAGTATAAAGGTTTGTCGGTATAAAGCTCTGTCAGTATAAAGCTCTTTTAGTATAAAGCTCTTTCAGTATCAAGCTCTTTTAGTATAAAGCTCTTTCAGTATAAAGCTCTGTCAGTATAAAGCTCTTTCAGTATAAAGCTCTTTCAGTATAAAGGTCTGTCGGTATAAAGCTCTTTCGGTATAAAGCTCTGTCGGTATAAAGCTCTGTCGGTATAAAGCTCTTTCAGTATAAAGCTCTTTCAGTATAAAGGTCTGTCGGTATAAAGCTCTTTCAGTATAAAGCTCTGTCAGTATAAAGCTCTTTCAGTATACAGCTCTGTCAGTATAAAGCTCTTTCAGTATAAAGCTCTTTCAGTATAAAGGTCTGTCGGTATAAAGCTCTTTCAGTATAAAGCTCTGTCAGTATAAAGCTCTTTCAGTATAAAGCTCTGTCAGTATAAAGCTCTTTCAGTATAAAGCTCTTTCAGTATAAAGCTCTGTCAGTATAAAGCTCTGTCGGTATAAAGCTTGGACCAACCGGCTTTAAAACAATCCTCCCTGAAGCCAAAATGAGCCGCGGGTCAGAATCTGGTCTGAAGTCCTTCTTGTGACTTGTGCGGCTCACATGCAGAAGCTGCATGAAGCATCCTGTGTGTGTGTGTGTGTGTGTGTGTGTGTGTGTGTGTGTGTTCCTCTGGTGAAACAACCATCACCGATTGAGCAACGTGATCTCTTTTACACCTGTGTGTTTGAGTGTGTAAGTGGGCCAGCGTCCTTAAACCAACAGTTGGGTCTATTAATAGCAGCCGCTGGTACCTTGTGGGTCAGTCACCTCCCTCACCTTCACCCTCCCTCTCCTCTTCCTCCTCCAAAACCAAACGCACCTCTGCTGCTACGTCCAGTTTGTGTTGCAACTCAGGGACTTTCTGTGGGTTAGAGTTGAGTTTTTATTTATTGTACCTTTATTGTTCACCGGACTTTACCAGAACCATCTGGGAAGTGGTCATTGTTTGGAAAAGAGCTCAGCAGGTGATCGGTCTATCACCGGGGAACGAACCACATAACGTAGTCAGAGTCTTGATGCTAGCAGCAAACGTTAAGCTCTTCAGCAGAAACCAATGTTGTTTAACGAACAGCCGCCTCTCGTCTCTTCAGAAACCTGTTGGGGGGGCGTCACGGAGACTATACAGTATATAGTCACACACTATCCCATTTTACAGAGGCCGATTTCATTCAATTTATTTAAAAAACCTAAAATTATTATTATTATTATTGTTCAACACGTCTCCAGGAACCTCTGTGATGATTTCCATGTTGTTTTAATAATTAAATGTTTAACACACATATATTACTGTATAAGCAGATTCTTGTTCCTGATCTCATAATTACGAGATCTTTTCTTGTAATTATGACAGAAGGTGTTTAATTTTTTCTGTGAATGCAAAGTGCTTTATGCTCAAGTCAAAAACAGGAAATTAAATCACGGTGAAAAGGGGTGAGTGAAAGTTAAACATTTTCGTATAATAAAAAGTCTCAGGTCTAAAATCCTGTCAGACATTTTATTCCGGGTTGAAGCAGCACGGACACACACGGGCAAAACAGACATTTTCTTTGGTTCTGTTTTCTATTGATTTTATTTTTATATGAAAAATGAAAATCCCAAAATCTTTTTGACCATAAAAAGAAAATAACACCATAATTTAATATTTTAAAACCAGAATCAAACAGCTGGTTCTTTGTTTAATATCTGTTTCTGAAAGGAATCTGATGACTGAGCCGTTATTAGTGGTTCTGTGTTGGATTCAAGACTGAAAAACAAATAGTTTTATAAGTTCCTGATTTTATATTGAATACTGTCACTAAAATATTTCCAGACCGTTTTCTGGTCCAGGTTTGAAAGTTTTTACCTGACAATATGAAAAGAACGACACGATGGAAAGCGAACAAACACAAATCTTCTCTGTCCGTGTGACGACAGAAGTCTGAGTCATGGTGTCTTCATTTGGTTTCAGTGGATTCTCTGACAGACGTACGGATCAAAAGTTCTTCCTGAATCTGTAGTTAAAGTGAAAATGACCTCAAACACTTTTCTTTACACACACCGCCACTGTCAGCCCTCGTCAGTCCTCACACACAGAGACCACCGTCAACATAACCTCAGCCTTGGACCTGAATAACAAACACACCAGAGCTCAGGACATGTGTGGACCCATCAGAGGGGAGTCCCCCGGCCCGTCTAGAGCCCCCAACCCACAGTTTGAACCCAAACTGAGCACATAGAACAGGAATAATAAGAGGAGGTTTTACAAATTTTCCCAGTTATTTCTCACCTTTAAGCCTGTTAAAATAAAGTCTTTGTACAATTAACATCACTGAGTGTGTTTAGCAACCTCAACGGTAAAATAAATGTTTCGTGAGAATCGTGGTCGCAGTTCCCAAAACGAACAGACTTAATGCTGAAAAGATTGCTGAATGTTTGTTCCACGTCTGCTTAACCAGCTCTCACAGGTTCTCCTACCACATACACACACAGGCCATCTGAGTGAGAACAGGACAACACACATTATTTCCAGGATATTTGGTCATTTTAATCCATTTTCAGGTGTTTCAGAAACTGGAAAACTAGTCTCTAACGAAGTGGTTCCCAACCTGAGGGTCGGGACCCCCACTAGGGGTCGCAAGGTCTTCCTGATTTTAAGCGCGCTACAAAACCTAAAAAATATACACAGTGGGTCTATAACTTAACATTTAATTCATTTCTGTGAAGAAAACTAAATTAAACTTATTTTTAAAGTTTAGATTACACTGTAAAACCAGATTAACTCAAACTGATTCAAATTTTAAGTTACACAAACTTATTTTCTCTCGATCAAGTAGCTTTTGTAATTTTAACTGACTTCATTTTAAAGTTTTTATTTGTATTGTGAAAAAAAACTAGTGAAGACTATTTCAGAATGTTTTTTTTACTTCCAAAATTGAGTTAATGTAACTTAAAATTCGAAACAATTTAAACAATGTTTCTGAGTTAAAATAACTTATCACATTACAGTTAATTATTTAATATCTAAACTCTGATGAGCTGAACTGTATTTGATACTTGATGCCATTGTTCTGAGAGAATAAAACACTGAACTGGTCATAAAGTCTGTATGGATGGATTGTTAGAAATAAAATAAATATATAATACAGACAGACAATATCAGATCTCTGATCAATATTCACAGAAAATAAAGGTTCCCTTGAGGAAAAAGGTTGGGAACCAGGTTTTCCAGGATGTTCAAGATGTAAAATCTGAGCTGCTTATTTTTATTAAAACATTTTTTTTTTTTTTTTTATGTGAGAAAGACGAATCTGCAGCCTCTTCAGGAATCTCTCTTATTCTGTTTTAGTCCCACTTTATTTCAAACAGCTTTAATTAAACAGAAATCTCATGTCTGTGTCTCTGATCTGAGACGAAACAACGCTGTGATTTTACCGCCTCCTGTAAATGGATGGATAAAGTGTGTCTGTGTGAGAGATCACTGCAGAAGGTAGAGCTTGTGTTTTAGTTCTTTTATAGGTTTATAGTACAATATATCCAATATTCACATGTAGGACAGATTATTTGTGCGTTATAATACAAAAATAACACAAGAAAGAAAAAGCAGAATCAGGGATGCACCGATGAGTTCATTACATCCAGTTTCCAACAGTCTGAGCTGTTTCTCATTAGTACACAACAACAACACGTAGAACTGGACATGATTTGTTTGATACTTTTTAAAGAAACATTTACAGTTCTGAGCCCCATCTTGTGATATGATTGAAAACTCCGAAGCAGCTACTAAAGGGACCTTTAAAGGTTCTACCAGGAGTTTTTAAACTTGTTATAAACAGTCTCAGTTTAATACTGGAGCCTCTGTATGAGCTACTTAAAGAAACAGAGAGAAGATTGGATATTTCTATGTAGTTATTCTTAATCATTGACTGCCACCAGGTTGGATTCCCCTTGAAATCAATGAAAGAAGGTGGTGGGAACAATACTGCGTTTGTCCACTGTTACCAGGAATTACATCAATTTGTTTGGCCTCAGTCGGAGTAAGAAAATATCGATACACTTATATATCGATATTTTCGATTCTCAAAAAAAACATTTGTTGTATTAGTTATTGTTTTTAAACCCCCAGCTGTTAGATAGCAGTGCTGTAAACAGGGCGGTGGTGTTGGATGTTACACCGACTGTGATAAATACTCAACAGATCCCACTGTTCTGGTAAAACTCAGATGTTATGCAGATGATGGTGTGCTCTTTAACTAAAATTAAATTTAAAAAAAGGTGCAATATACTGAATCATAACCCCTTTATCATGAATGATAGACGCCAAAACTGCCAAAAGATAAAAACTTTAAGATGCTTAAATGTGAATATTTATTTGTTTCACTTTCTTTGACAGTAGACTGTACATCTTTGGCTTCTGGACGAAACCAGACATTGCATTCGACTCTGTGAATCTGTGATGGACATTTTCACTCTTTTCTGATATTTTATACAACCAGTTCACTTATTTGAGTAAGTAATTGACAGATTAACTGGTAATTAAAATGATAGTTGTAGTCTTAGTCACAACTACAAAACTGGCTCAGAAAGTGGAAACTGAAGAGGAACTAGAGTCTAGAAAGGATGCCACTTCAGCTTGTGATTGATCCGAGACACACTGATACACAATCAATGATCCGAAACAGCGCAATAATCTAATCGGTGCATCCATGAAACAAACAAAAACAATTTAAAGACTAAACTCCAAACAAACTTCAGGAACTTCACAGCTTTGCTCTGTCCTACATCTCCCACAATGCATCCCACACCTCCACCTCCACCCAGTGGCAAATGAAACAGTCTGAGTCGAAGAGGAAGCAGGTTGGTTGGCGGCAGCGGGGGTGATGTCAGGGCAGTGATTCGCGCCCGTCTGTGATGTCACATCCTGTTTGCTGGGACAGTAAACGCCTCCTCCCCCAGCAGAGGGTTAACCCTCCACCACGATCTTCTGCGACTCGAACATCTTCCCGATGGTGACCTGCACAGAAAGACGGAGACAGATTCAACTCCACTGCACAAAGCTCCTGTTGTCATTCCCTCCTCCACCCCACATGTCCCATAGATAAAGAAACGTACATATAGAAATAGTCGCCATATTGGGGAGGTCACGAGCCCGCCCCCAGTGACTGAAATAAAACCAGTATCAGATTCAGTTTCTCACGTTTGTAACAAACTAATTTCATGAAACCCGGTTCAGAATTAAATAAGTTACAGTCGGTTTTGTAGTGCAGTCTGAATTTCTCAGTACTGATAACCAGCAGGTCTTGACCTCCCCAATATGGCGACTGTGACATGTCCTGTTCGCCTCCAGGTCCAGAAATCAGGATGTTATCAGGATGGTCTCAGGGAGCCCAAAAACCCCTTTTTGGGGGGCATATTTCTGGTGAAATTATGTAAAAAAGGTACTTCAGCAGCATAAATAGTCAAACAAGTATCCTGAAACAGAGTAAGTGGTTAAATCAGATAAAACTATCACTCATATCTTTGAAAAGACAAAAAAAAGACAGCTTGAAAAACTCATCAAAAATTATTATTTTCCAGCCCTTTATGCTGAATATCACCTCTGTTTGTCCTGAGGGTGGCGCTACAGAACACTAAACACCAGTGTGTGTGAGAGAGTGTGTGTGAGTGTGTGAGTGTGAGTGTGTGTGTGTGTGTGTGTGTGTGTGGTCAGTGTTCAGAGAGTCTCTGTGTTATGTCAACATTATCCAGCTGGACTCTGTTGTCAAATAGGAGAGCCAATTATGGTCGGGTGTGATGCAGCTGTACTTTATGTCCAAACTGAGTGAGTGAGTGTGAGTGTGTGTGTGTGTGTGTGTGTGAGTGTGAGTGTGAGTGAGAGAGAGAGAGAGAGAGAGAGAGAGAGAGTATGTGAGAGTATGTGTGTGTGTGTGTGTGTGTGCGTGCACAAGGGCCACAGTTCACAATTGATTTTCTCTTGTTTCAGTACAAAGACACGACAGGCTCATCTACAGAACATGACCAAATGTGACCCCCCCCACACACACACAGATGATCTGAACATGCAGTCGCTGTCTGTCTGTACATCAGTGTCTCTGTTTAGGGACACAGAGACCCACATTCAATGTTATCTGCACATGTTTAGGAACTCTTTCACAACTTTAAAGTTTTTTAATAAATAGATTGTCTGCCGCCGCCCTGCTGGTCTCCTGAGGCCGTAACGACACACCAAAAAACTACAACAGAGAAAACTTCAACATTCTTACATCCTGACAATTAGTTTGAGAAAATGCTGTTCTGAGACGTTCTGCAGGACCTGAAGGTTGGATCTAGTATCATCAACTCGACGTACAACACCTACAAACAGACGTACAACACCTACAAACAGACGCACCACACCTACAAACAGACAAACAGACGCACAACACCTACAAACAGACGCACCACACCTACAAACAGACGCATCACACCTACAAACAGACGCACAACACCTACAAACAGACGCACAACACCTACAAACAGACGCACAACACCTACAAACAGACGCACCACACCTACAAACAGACGCACAACACCTACAAACAGACGCACAACACCTACAAACAGACGCACCACACCTACAAACAGACGCACAACACCTACAAACAGACGCACAACACCTACAAACAGACG